TTTGCTTTAACTAATGTTACAGGATGAATATATGGAGGACTGATTATATATTTTGAAAATATAAAGTGTTGAGTAACAGTCTTAAATGTTAAAATGAAACTCGGGTGAAAATCTTAGCAAGCAAATTACCCCAATACTTGACTTCAGAAATAAGGCAGTGGTAAGAACAATGTTGACCTAGTTTTTCTGATTATAACCTTGGCATGTTAATTCTGGATTAAAATTAGGAGATATTTTGTGTTTCAAAATAAACTATAATTAAATACCACCGCCTCAGTAAACCCATTGAGTCAATTGTGACACATAGTGACTTTAAATAGGGTTTGAGAAACCGTAAAACTAGAGGAAAAGAGAGTCTCATCTTTCTCCTACAGAGCAGCTGATGGGTTTGAACCGCCAACTTGGATGTTAGCAGTCTAACATGGACCCGATAGTGCCACCACTAGTCTGCCCTAGGAGTAGTGGTTTAATGCTCTCATACTTGGAATGTCCATGCTCATAACGGTGTTAACCAAGCGGTGCTTTTAAGAACATTGTAAAAAGTTTCAGTAGAAATATTAGTGTTTTATTTTTGTTGTTGTTTTTAGCAATTATTATCCACTCAGACTTTTCTTACAATAGGTTTATTTGAGTTTAGGAAATTATACATAAGAAGATAGACATGTGATTTAAGCTGATTGATAAACTTTAGACAAGACCAACATGTGTGTATACAATCACTCCAAAATGTAGGATAAAACCATGTGTTCTCTTCCAGAAACCAAGGCTTTAGAAAGATAAAAATTTAACAACATAGCAAGATATATTCATTAAATTCTGGTTTAAACTACAGAAAGGATATAGATCCTTACATAAGTCACTTTCTGCTATCTACTTTTAACTATCTACTGAAAGAACATGTTGTGGTTAATTAAGGTTAAGAATTCTTGGGCTCCAATCCTGGATCAACAATTTATTATGAATGTGATCTTGGTAAAACATTTCTTTGTACCTCTATATTTGGATGGCAACAAAAGTTAATAGACTGAATGCATGAGATTGCTTGAAGGATTAAAAAAGTAAGTGCCTGTCTCTCGGTTTATTAAATAGAGAGAGACCAGGTGACAACACAGATAAACCCCGGGCTAGGCTTTAGCAGTTAAGGAAACATTTCTTTTTAATCATTTTATTGGGGGCTCTTACAGATCGATCACAATCTAGGCATACATCCATTGTGTCAAGCACATTTGTACATAATTTGTCATCGTCATTTTCAAAACATTTTCTTTCTGCTTGAGCCCTTGGCATCAGCTCATTTTCCCACTCACCCCTCCCTCCCTCCCCCATGAACCCTTGATCATTTATAAATTATTTTTTTTGTTCATGTCTTACACTGACCACTGTCTCCCTTCACCCATTTTTCTGTTGTCCATCCACCTGAGAGGGGGTCATATGTAGATCATTGTGATCGGTTCCCCCATTCTCCCCTCCCCTTCCCCTTCCCCTCCTGGTATCACTACTCTCATTATTGGTCCTGAGGCTTTATCTGTTCTGGATTCCCTGTGTTGCGAGCTCTTATCTGTGCCAGTGTACATGCTCTGGTCTAGCCAGATTTGTAAGGTAGAGTTGGGGTCATGATAGTGGGGGGGAGGAAGCATGTAAGAACTGAGGAAAGTAAGGAAACATTCGTAAGCATCCAGCAATGATCCCTTTAACAAGTGGCTACATAATATGAAAGACTAACATTTAAAAATATATATTAAACACTGCCTTATGACCATCTTATATTTTGATCTCAGAAATACACCCCAAAAATGACATTTGAGGGTTTCTCCCGTCTATAGCTTTCAGTTTTTTGTGAAGTTATAGAGAATGTTTCTTACGTATGCCAAAGGACTGGACAGTTGACGATAATACCTACTGCCAAGGTAGTAAATATGCAATGCCTGTCTTTCAGTTGTTTGGTTTTATTTTGTTCTTAATATTCCTAATACAAATGGGGAAAAGATGGAAATTAACTTACTAGATTTGTCTTCTTTGAATGTTCTTGAAAATAATATTGTGAACAGTTACTTGTTATGTATACAAGTTCCCTCTAAATGGTGCCTGGCACATTTAAGCGCTATAAAAGTATTAGCAATTTTTATTTTTATTAAATATCCATTGGTTGACAGCCAAGATGCTAGACATCCAATTCCTACTACTATATATAATAATGCTGGAAATAAGCTGAGAAAAGTATTTAGCATTAAACTGGATAAACACTTTTGTAAAATAAGACTTTATACTTTGGTTATTTTAAATAAGTTATATTAAATATTATTAGTACTTTGTCCACTAAGCTGTGAGGTTCTTTAATTTTGCAGAGTTGTATTACTATATTCTATATCATTGAAACTATTTTTATACTATTTGATAGTTTTTAGAATAAAGATGATTGGGAAGTTCAAAAAAATGCATATATTCAAAACACTAAAAGCAGTGCCTGCCAGACTGTAAGTGCACAGTGTTAGCTTATTGCTACTACCAGACGCAATGTTTTGTTTTTATTCTTCATAAAAATAAAATGTCCATAATGTCTTGAAAATCTTGTAGAGTATGAGTTAATTGAAGTTGGGAAACGTAAAATGTTTTCGCCCAAATTTAGTAGTTTTATTTCCATCTTCTTAGATATTTTCAAGGTTTTAGTCGTTTGCCTGGAAAAGCATTTATTTGTAAATAAATAAAGATTTATATAGCTAATATTGAATTGAATGCATTCTTACTGTCTGCTCCAGTAATTAGTAAACTGTGGGAGTCCTGATGGCCATGTTGTTGGGTACGCATTGAACTACTAGCGGCTAAGTCAGGGGTTCAAACCTCCCAGATCCTCTGTTGGGGAAACATAGGGCTATCTGTTTTCACAAAAGTTTACCACCTTGGAAACCTTATGAGACAAGTGACAGTGCACATACCCCACAAGTATCTGTTCAAAATCAGCTGGATGGTGGTGGGTGAGCGTATAATGTTGAATAAGACTAATTTACATAGATATATATTGTTCGGGTGTGGCCATAATAAAAGGGTCAAGAATGGCCTTAACCAGTTTTTTACTTGATTTAACCCAACAGAAGAGACAATTGTGAAATTTATGATTCCATTGGCAATTAAAAAATAACGTTAAAGTACTTTATTATGAAAATGAGAGGATTTCAAAACGTTTTTGAGCAAAAGGATAAAAATAAAAAATTAGAAACTTTATTCTCCAACATAAGCTTCATCAAGGTCAAGATACTTCTATAAGCAATTAAACCGGACATCTATTCTACCACTGAAGAACTGAGGACCCTGGAAATCTAACTATCTTTTTTAACATTATATGGTGATTAAGAATGAGTGCCCTTTAAAGATATTTTTTTAAATAGGAAACAAAAAAAGTTAGGATGATCCAAATCATGACTGAAGTTTCATTTAACTTTCTCAGAGCACTATTGTGATAAGTAGATATTATTGTTCTTTGACTATAGAACCTCAGTAGGCCAAATGCCTTTAGCATTACCTCCCCTACCCCAAATGATTTCATGGCCTTTGTTGTTGCCCGCTCTGCTTTTCCTTTGACGGTACCCCTTTCACGTCTCGTATCCCATTGTTTCCATGGTTCTGAGTTTGCTTTGTATTCAGCACTGCTAAAGCCACGTCTTTGCAGTTCTTGCAAGAATTGCTTCAGGATCTTGATTCTGCTTGTTTAAAATTTCCATTGGAAGTTCTACTCTAGTCTGCAGCTAATCTGGGTACAGTAATTTGGGGACCAATAGAGTAAAAAATGCCCTTCTACAGGGACTGGTCTCCCCTGACAACATGGCTTCAGTATGAGAGACCATCCTTGCTCCAAAGGAGCTTTCAGACTTTCCTTCTCAGAAGAATTTTGTTGTCGTTGTTCTTTTGGCAGTCCGTGGAACTTTCGGTATTCTTCAACAACACCATAATTGAGGTGCATCTTTTCTTCTTTGGTCTTACTTATTCAATGCCCAACTTCCACATGCGTATTAACTAATTTAAAATGCCATGCCTAGGCCTCAAAGTAGCACCCTTGCTTTCAAATTTTAAAGAAGGATTGTGCAGCAGAATACCCAGTAGAGCAAGTCATTTAATCTCTTGACTGCTGCTTCCACTAGTGAAGCCAAACACTGCCATGGAGTCATTGCTGACTTAACAGCAACCCTTGTGGGTTTCTGAGACTGGAACTGTGTATGGGAGTGGAAAGCCCAGCCTGCATTCCACAGAGCTGCTGCTGGTTTCTAACTGCCAGCCATGCGATCGCAGCCTATTGGGTACTCACTCCACCACCAGGGGTCCCCTCTGCCTTGAGTTAGTGTGCGTTTATTTTGATAACACAATGAAATCCCTGAAAAATTTTTTGAAAACCTCTCATATATCTTAATAACTTGAAATGACTGCTGATACAATCAACTGTGTTGATAAATGGGAGGGAAGATTGTATCCACTGTCGACAGCATATGGCCTCTTAAGCTCTTTGTAGATGTATGTTTCAAAAAATGTTTATTGGGATCATCCAACTAATTGTCACTGCTTCTGTTTGTGTATTTATCTGTCAAGTTACCTTTGATTTGTGGTTCATGTTCCATAAAGACTTTCTAATAGGGAAGAAGCGATTCAGTCTGCTTGGCATTAATAAATTCACACGTACTCTGTTGGAGAAAGAATTGTTGAGAATTAATGGTCACCCTTAATCAGTTAACTAATTATTTTTGAAAAATGAGTAAAAGCAAATACTGCCATGTTTTCTATTCTGCTGCTTCAAATGCCACCTGGCAGCTCCAATAAGAAATAAAATTGACTGGGGTAAAATCATTAATCCTGAGCAAAAATTTAGTGGAAATAGATTTTTTTAAAATAGATACCAAATACAGCAAACTTATTTACACAATAATGAATATAACATAAAAATTAACACACATATATTTTGTACCAGAAACATTGATTTACTTAAAGCAGTTATTTAAATTTTTTTTTTCTTTAAGGCCACAGAAAGTGAAGCTGGTGATATGGACCTGAGTGGGTTACCAGAAACGGCCGTGGATTCTGAAGATGATGATGATGAAGAAGACATTGAGAGGGCATCCGATCCTCTGATGAGCAGGGATATCGTGAGAGACTGCCTGGAAAAGGACCCAATTGATCGGACAGATGATGACATTGGTAAGTGTAGATGAGAAAATGGACTTAACACCAATTACAACTATGTAAGACTGTCTAATACAGTTGCCCCTAAGACTAGTATAGGAGCAGTGGTGGCTCAAGTAGTAGACTTCTCGCCTTCCCTGTGGAAGACTCCATCCATCTACCTGATGTCTCATGTGCACGTCATGGATGTGTGAGCTACAGTGCTGGGGAAGAAAAGAAAATTTCTTGTTGTTTTTGTCATTGTTGACTTTAACAAATTCTCCATATTGTGGTTTTATTTTTGGTAATAAACTTGTGTGCCTTCTCATTGAATCTGTGCGTTATAAAATTGAATTTGTTCATTATAAAATTGTTTTGGAAAAAATGTTGATTATGTGTAAAAATGTTATGTGTAGGTATCTGTCATTCCTGAAAATGATAAGCAGTCACCTAATTTATTCCTAAATTGGTAACCAATCTAAATACTCTTTATTGAGTAAATTTATTTTGTCATTGAGATGAAATGTCAACTTTATTGAATATTAGAATTCTATTGTGTGTCTATCTACTATGTTTCCTGCCTAAGTGATCATAGTCATTTAAATCCGACAACTGGTTGCTCTTTTATTGGGAACCAAAGAAATAATACTTTGGTCACGATGCTAAAGTGGGTGGTGGAACTGAGACAGCAGCCACGGCCCCCATATTCATTCCCAGATGGTACAGGGATATAGAAAAGAGGCTAAAAATTAACTTAAAAAATGTTTTTTCAATGTTTGCTCTAGATGTGTAATTAAATATGTGAAACATTTTTATTTATCATTTCCTTTTTTCTTAATTGTAGATTGGGTGAAAGTTTTCAGAGCAAATTAGAATTTGATTGAACAGTTTATGTACATTTTGTTTCATGGCATTGCTTGCAATCTCACTTCAATAGTACGCTTCCCATGTTCCCCGGGTTCTAAATTCTGTTAGTGCTTCTTTCCCCTTCGGCGTTGTGAGCCTTGTTTTGGGGTTTTCATGGCTGCTGACACTGCGGAGTGCATCCTCGCTAGTGGTAGTGTTTACTTCCTGTCACACTCACTGCCGAGGAGTCCCCACTAGCGCACAGGGACCCTTCAGCAGGGGCTAGACCTGCCCTGCTTCCGAGACTGATTTTTCACAGGAGTAGAAAGCTTCATCTTTCTCCAACTGAGTGGCGGATGATTTTGAACTGCTAACCGGTAACCCTTTATACCACTGGGCTATAAATTATGTACAAACATTTCACTGCCATCGGTGAAGAGCAGCCTACGTGTGTTCTCGTTCATTTACCGTATATACTCATGTATAAGCTGAGTTTTTCAGCACATTTTTAGCACAGTTTTTGTGGTAGAATTGGTTTCCTTGGCTGATATTCTGGTTGGCTTATACTTGAGTGTCTATAGTTCTTGTCTCAGTCTCATTCAGCGTGCCTTGAAAAAAATTTTTTTAAGTCCAATAAAACAGTGACTTCTTAGAAGATCTGCAAGGCAAGTTAAGTTGAAGGCGTAGAAGTCAGCTCAGAAGGCTATGGCAGCTATTTCAGACAGCATTCCAAAGGTCTGGAGGAATTTTCTCAAAGGACATAAGATGGTCATAAGGACTTATATGAGATGTTTTAAACATTGAAAACTGTATAGTAAGGAAATGGCCAGGGAAGATGTGCTGAGGAATTTTTTTCCATCATGACAATGCATCTGTTTTTTGGGTTTTTTTGAGCCTTGTGCTTGATAACCCTGGTCATGGCCTTTCAAACTTCTTTTTCAAGCTCAGCATTTCAAAGGAGCACAAGTTGAGTACCATGAGGATGCAAAAACTGCCATTCTGATGTGCTCTAAATCAAAGAATATAGAATTTTGGAAAAATGAGAGAGATGCCGTCAGAATTATATAGACGGAAATGGAAGATTTTTAGAAACAGTAGCTTCACACTTTGAAATTCTTGTTCAGTGAAGGTTTCTATGGTTTCAATCTATATGGTAAGCAAATAATCAGAGACTCTGGCTTATGTGAAGAATGAGGCATTGGATTGGAGGAAGGCTTATTAACAACCTTTGATACACAGATGACACATCATGCTTACTGAAAGTGCGGAGGATTTGAAACACTTCTTGGTGCAGATCAAAGATTAAAACCTTCAGTATCAGTTACAACTCAATGCAAAGAAGATTATATTCCTCACAACTGGACCAATGGGTAGCATCATGATAATGCAGAAAAAATTGAAGTTGAGGAGGATTTCTCCTTGCTTGGATCTACAACCAGTGCTCATAGAAACAGCATTCAGGAGATCAAATTGCCTGCTGAACGAAGGCCTCTTTAGAGAATGGAAAAGCAAGAATGTTCCTTTGATGAGTAAGATGCGCCTAACTCAAGCCATGGTGTTTTTATTGCCTCCCATGCATGTAAAAGTTGGTCACTGAATAAGGAAGACCAGAAGCGATTTGATGCATTTGAATTATGGTGCTGGTGAAGAACGTTGAAAGTACCATGGACTGCCAAAAGAGCAACTCTTTGTTGGAAGAAGTATGGTCAGAATGCTCCGGAGAGGCAAGAATGGTGAGACTTCATCTCACATACTTTGGACATGTTGTCAGGAGAGACCAGCCTCTGGAGACATTGTGGTTGGTAAAGTAGAGGGGCGGCAAAAAAAGAAGACCTTCTACAAGATGCACTGACCCAATGGCTGCACCAGGAGGGTCCAGTATGGGTGGGTGTTTCAGTCCGTTATATACAGATAAGGGTGGCCATGAGTCTGAACCAACTCAGTGGCACCTATCACCAAGGATACGATTTTATGATCAATACCTTTTTACTTATATGAGTCTGGCTGGGTTTTTTTTCACAGCATCACCAATAGGATGTGTGATTCTGAGAGATAAGAAATAGTATCTGTTATTTCACATTTATGTTGTAAACATTTTTAATTGATGTATGCCAAATACCCCATGGTTTCTCAATTCTGGTGAAATACATTTATTTTTCACTAAATTCTGCATGGTCATGTTGACTTGCTGGAGAATTTTCATAGCTTTATCTTCATCTTTTAGCCTTTGGTAAGCCTTAATGAGATCAAAATAGAATTTCTCCATTAGAAATCCCATAGTTTGGAGGGGGCTAGAAGAAGTCCCATAGTTCTTCCAGTGCCGCTGGGATTGCAACGGATACATATAGTGTTGCTTCTGATTCAACAAGGAAATGTTACCACTTCTAAAATGACAGCTTATTGTGTGTAAGAAATTCAACTTTTCCTGAAGATACTTAAAATGATTATGTTGCTTAATTAAGCTAGAATTGTAGGGCAATTCAAAAGAAAGAGCCTTAGAACACTTGTTTAAATAAATAAAAGTTATAGTTTTGACGACGGTTATCTTTTAATTTTCAGAACAACTCTTGGAATTTATGCACCAGTTGCCTGCTTTTGCCAATATGACAATGTCGGTGAGACGAGAGCTCTGTGCTGTGATGGTGTTTGCAGTGGTGGAAAGAGCAGGAACCATTGTGTTAAATGATGGTGAAGAGGTTAGTAAACTTTTTTTTTTAAGAGTTATTTTTATTTATTTATTTAGTCATTTTATTGGGGGCTCAAGTAAACATTTTTAAAACTCAAAAAGTATGTTTGGGGGAAGGTCTGTACAGCAAATCAAGAGAAACCTAATTTATAAGTCTACCTTAAAGCAAAACAAAATGGTAAATCTTGAATAAGCCAAGAATTATGATATAATTATTATGCAAATCTGTAAGTTATCTATTATATATAGTATTTCAAATTCTATGTATAGGGATTTTGATGTATTACCTTTTAAAAATAAGATTTACATTTCAAGGTGGAAGTTTACAACAACTGGTATACAAATGGCTCACTGGTATTGATTACATTTTTCACAGCAGCCTCATTTTCATTCGTTCTTAGGGTATCGTTTCTAGGACTCTGTTTTCCTTTATCTTCTCATCTTTGCTTTAGAGTAATTTTGGACCATTTGGTCTCTTATAGATTATTTTTTAAAAGGGCTTATTCAAAAGTGATACGCTTTTATTTTATGAGGCAATCTCATTTGGCTAAAAAATAGCCTCAAGAAAGAATTAATTTTGGTTTTTAGATTTAAGTAGTCTCTCAGGGTGGGAGAGTTCACTAGGAAATGCAGATATTTTAAGTATTTGAGTTGTGTTCCACATTTCCCTCTTGTCCTCTTTGGAGCTCTTGTGACCCTGATCAGAAAAGGTCCTAGAGGTATCTAGGCATCATCTGTTTCTCCTGGCCTTGGGGTAGATGAGACCATGCTTTCTGTTGACAGTGAATCCTTAGACTAGCCTTTCTTCTCTGAGTTCCCTTTTTCTTTGGTTCTAGATCGTCATTCACAAGCTTTTAAAGCCCCAGCCATCACTCCCACATCAGGATACAGAGCCATTATCCCACAGGTCTATGGTCTTAAACCTTAAACTCAGAAAATGATTTCAGCAAGATGTGTGACCATGTCTAAGAATCCCTGTGGTTTTTGTTGTCATAGTATTTTGTTGTTGGGTTTTTTTTGTTTTCTATTTTATTTTACTGAGAGTTGCCACCACATCCTTATTTGGTTGATATTCCAGGTAAAGAATGGTAGCTGATTACACAGTATTGTGAGAGACTAAAGAGTAAAGGGTGGGAGAAGGATCCTCAGTGCCAGTGTTCAAATTCTCCTGGGAGAGGGACCGTGGCCTTACGAAGTGACAGTGGGGTCCAGAAGAACCCTTGGTAAAGAGTTCTGGGAATTACGAGATGTGAGGATTAACTTCCGTTTGGGGAGTGGGACTAGAGGTGTGGTTTGTGAGCTGGTGCTAAGGAGCCACAGCCCTTTGCTAGACGGCACCATGAAGCTCACTGCTGTTGTGCCCGTTCTCACTCACAGTGCTCCTGTGAGGTCGGGTGAAAGAGGAGGCTGAGGGCTGGGCTGCTAACTGGAACCCACCAGCTACTCTTCCAGGGAAAGGGGAAACTTCCTGCTCCTGTGCAGACACAGAGCCTTGGAGATCAGAAAGGGCAGCTCTGTGCCGGCCTGTCGAGTGGCTGTGAGTCAACAGTGACGTGGACTTTGTGGCTGTGAGTGTGGATTTTGTTTCGGGGCCTTTGCTGTTTGTGCTTAGATTTTGAGCCCTGCTCTAAACCAAACAGTCCACCCGAAACCAGCCTCGAGTCAGGTGAACTTACACTTGACATTGACTGAGGCAATGTGGCATTCAAAAGATCCAACCCTTAGCCTCATGTGCAATAACAGGAATGTTAAGATTCTTACCCTAAGTTGTCTGAGACTACTACTTAAAAGAAGTGTCCCTAAGTATGTGTCAAAGGGAAAAATAACTACAATGCCACTAACCCCTGTGGCTCAAACTATTTTAACTTTGGAGGTTTTGTATTTTGTATATTCATCACCACAATGACTTTTATTAAAATAAAGTAGGAAATCAGATTTCATAATTGTAAAATACACTACTCACTGCTGTTGAGTCGATTCCGACTCATGTATGCTATACAATCAGAAAGAGGAGGAGGAGGATATAGAATGTTTGGCTAATTATCTCCTTTCCTGTGAGAACAGAAGAATTGCATAGTGCCAGGCTACCATTACTGATCATTTTGATCAAATATTACATAATAGAATATTGATCAAACGAGAAATCCGGGGGGGGGGGGGGGGGGGGGGAGTCAAATTCTCATAATCTTTAGACTTTATGGCGCTATGGAGGATAGATCAGCTAAAACTATTGCTGTGAGATTATCTTGAAAGCTTAAAACAAAACTTTCCCCTGAAATTTCCCCTGAAAACATCTAAAATCTACAAAATAATTTTGCTTAACTAGTAAATTTTAAAAAGCCCGTTTGAAACGCAATGCTCTTTTAACAACTTATATGAGAGCTAATTGACAACAGGAACTCAGATTAGTTAAGAATCTTAGGAAACTGAGTTTATGTTAATAACGGGAGGAAAATTCCAGAAAAGGAGGGTGGACATGGCTGTACAACTTGAAAAATATAATCAGTGTCACTAAATTGTACACGTAAACACTGTTGAATCAGTAAGTGTTCCATGTGTAGTCTCAACAACAATTATATAAAATTTATAAGAAAAAAGGATACTATATGTTAGAATAAATGTGACATTTTAATTGTTCCATATTTAAATGGAATATCTGTAAATCACAAATGCGTAAGTAATTATTTCATAGATATTAATTCAAAGTATTCAAAATGGATGCTATTTTCTGCTGTCTTCTTTTTGTTTCTTTTTTTAATTATTAGCTTGACTCCTGGTCAGTGATTCTGAATGGTTCTGTGGAAGTTACGTATCCAGATGGAAAAGCAGAAATACTGTGCATGGGAAACAGCTTTGGGGTCTCTCCTACAATGGACAAAGAATACATGAAAGGAGTGATGAGGACAAAGGTCGACGACTGCCAGGTATGAAATATCGTTAGAGATGTGTATTTATTCTTACTGTGGATACTTTGTGAGCCCTGGTGGAATAGTGGTTAGGAGTTGAGCTTGTGGAGCTGCTACCTGCAAGGCCAGCAGTTCAAACCCCCAGCTGCTCCACAGGAGAAAGACGGGACTTTCCATTCCCATAAAGTCACATCGTGGAAACTCACAGGGCCTGTTCTAGCCTGTCCTATAGAGTCGCTATGAGTCAACATTAACTTAATGGCAGTGAGTTTGGTTTGGGTAGGATACGTACATGGAATTTGGAGAAATTTTTATACTTATGTCAATAGGTCTTATTTTATAAACATAAATTTAAATTAAACTTTTCCATTTACTTTTACTAGGTCCAGGAAGTTAAAAATAATTATTTGTTCAAGTCTGAACTTCATAGAACTTAGTGTTCTAGAAAATTAATATGATGGTATAAAATATTAATCAATACTAATAAGCTGTTCAAGTAAAAATGTGACAATAAAGTACACACTATTACTATGTTAAATTCACCTTTTCCTGGGATCTTGAGAGTTAATGGCACTTTTAAGTAATATTGCAGGAAAAAGCCATTTTGCTATGGATAAACTTGAAACAAACTGCTATATGTTGATTAAAGTCTAGTTATGTTTCATTCTTAAAGTCTTTGCCTAGTTAAATGTGTTACAGTGTCATTTACGAAAGGAAAATAATTTTGAGAGTTAAACTGCCGCTGGTCTTTCAAAAATGAAATCGTGTTTGGATTTTCCTTTTTAATCATTTTAATGGGGGCTCTTACAGCTCTTATAACATTCCATGCATTAATTGTACCAAGCGTATTTGTACATATGTTGCCTTCATTTTCTAAACATTTCCTTTCTATTTGAACCCTTGGTATCAGCTCCTCTTCTTTTCCCTCCCTCCCCCAACCCTCGTGACCCCTTGATAAATTACAGATTATTACTGTTTTCATATCTTACACTGACTGTTGTCTCCCTTCACCCACGTTTCTGTTGTTCACCCCGTGTGTGTGTGTGTGTGTGTGTGTGTGTGTGAGTGTGTGAGCGATTATGCATGTATCATTGCAATCAGTTCCCATTTCCTCCCTGAGTTTTTACTTCCTCTGAGGGTGCCCCTATCATCGAGCACGTTCATGTGTTAACCACTCTGAGCAGGTATACCTAGTTGCCAGTGAGTCAGTTCTGACTCATAACAGTCTGTCTCTGTGAACAGACCTGTGCTCCATAGTTTTTAGTAGTCAGTTTATCACTTAGGCGTCCGTCCCAGAATGATTTTTGGGTGGATTCAACTTTTAACCTTTGGTTAGCAGCCAAGGGTATTAACTATTTGCACTACCCAACAACTCTAATGAAATCTCACTCAAACAATTAAGCACCTAACTCACAAATTTTCAACTGGCTGTCATAGTTGAAATGAATCATAGGTTATTATAAAATGTCATGTGAGATTTATAAATTTATGAAATCAAAATACATTTGCTAATGTAAAGATTTAGGTAAAGTTTTAACAGAAGTTTATTCCTTTGCAGATAACAGTCAACAGTCTGTAGCTCGATGTTAGAAAGTCGGTTTCGGATGTCTTCTTCCGTGTGGGGGGTCGGGGAAGGGGTGGGGTAATATTGAAGCTTGAAAAAGAAATGCCGAGATAGTTTGACTTTAATAGTTTTAAATCAAATGTATCTAAATTTCCTTGGGCAAGAAGATTCATTTTAGTACCTTTCTCTTAAGTCATTTTATATAATCTATCTGCGTTTTCTGTTCAGTTCACTGGTGGATTTCTTTTTCAGAGGAAAATGAGACTTCCACTGTGTTATCTAAGACATAAGAAAAAACACCTAAAACTATTTATACATGAACATTTTCTAGATTATTTAATCATGCATATTTGGGGAGCAATTTTGCTATCCTGTAAAAACGTGGGGGGAAAGAGAGAGAGAGAGACAAGCGGATTGTCCTTGTTAGGAAGATGGGTTGATCCATTTTCCAGTTGGTTGGTTGCCCCGGTGGTGCAGTGGGTTTGCACTGGGCTGCTAGCCACCGTGTCAGCTGCTTGAAACCACCAGCCGTTCTACAGGAGTAAGACGGGGCCTTCTCCTGCTGTAAAAGGTGACCATCCTGGAAATTCAGAGGTGCTTCTATCCTGTCTTTTAGAGTCTCTGTGAGTCAGCGTCGACTCAGTGGCGGTGAGTTTGGTTTTGCTAACCTCGAGGTTAGCAGTGCCAAACCAGCAGTTGCTTGGAGGGAGAAGCGTGAGGCTTTCTATTCTGTAGCGTTACAGTCCCAGAACCCCGTGGGTCAGCAACAGTAGCATGGGAGTTTAGCAAAGCAGGCCTGATGCAACCTCGAACTCGGGGGATGCACCGGGACAGGATCCAGGAGCCTCAAGTTCAAGCGATGCATGAACCAGCAGCTTGGCGAAGCAGGTCTCAAAGGAAACCTCAAGCTCTAGCAACATGATCCACGGGTTGGCTTGGCCTGGCCCACAGGTAGTGTACCACACAGGTTGAGGCAGAGGACTAGCTAAAGGAGTAGCATGCTGGTCCCATTACCAGGGAGCAAGAGAGATATGGGATGCTGGACAACTTCATTTGTCTCAGTTGCTTTCCAGTCAAGCTGTGACCTGATCAAACTCCTCCTACATGTTCCTATTGGCCTAATTGGGACAATAAACCTATCACAATATAGTGCAAAGTAGCACTTGTTACATGAACTTCACATGTTTAATGCAATTGACTTTTGGGGGACAGGTGTGCATGGGTCCTACATTGGAGATTTATAACAGGACGAGGCTGCCTATACTTGTACATGAAAGGCCTGTGTCTGTGGGATTTTGAATTTTTTGCTTCTAAAGCGATTAGAGGGAAATTAATGGGATGATGTCAACCGTAGTAGTTGTAGAAAATAGAGCCCTATGCTGCTTCTCAAGTATGAACTGCTGCTGGCTTCCCACAAGCCTTAAATTTGTATATGTGAGATTATCCTGGGGTAGTACTTGTCTGGTGTTTATTATTGGCAACTCTTTCTTTAGAAGCAAGGACTACCTTTATTGTTCATTACAGGAATAAATACTTGAACTAAAACAAATATGTGACTTGTGATGTGACCTTATTTGAACAGTCTTCGCTTTAAAATGCTCACCAGATTTATTCTATTGGTATCTTTGAATTTCAATTTATCTTTAATGGAATTACTTTTACATTATTTTAAAAATGTAAAGCTAACTAAAGGGTAAATATTTTTATTATTCATTCTCATAGATTCCTCTTCTTCCACCACCACCCCACTCCCACCCACCCAGACACAGGGGGGTATAGAAAAAGACTCTTAGTTTTGTCTTCTGTTTTTGATTGTTTGTTGTTGTTTTATTTGTTTTCACTGTTAGTATTTTGGTTATAAACTGCATTCAAATATTCTAAAAATACAACTTTTTCATGTCCAAGCAAGAGACATTTAAAAGTAGAGAAATACGATGATGCTTCCTTATTGCACTTTTAGACAGTATGGGCAAGATATAGAAAAATGTCAGTGTTACATAATTCAGATAATGAATTATTATTTCTGCTAGATCTTGTGCAAGCACTTTATCCTCAAATGGAACCTACTTTATTTCAGTTTGTCTGCATAGCGCAGCAAGATTACTGCCGTATTCTTAACCAAGTAGAAAAGAACATGCAAAAAGTTGAAGAGGAAGGAGAGATTGTTATGGTGAAAGAGCATCGTGAACTTGATCGAACTGGGACAAGAAAGGGGCACATTGTCATCAAGGTAAAATGACCAACCTCCCATGCCCTTGAGAAGGGATTTTTTTGGGTGGTAGTATTGATAGCAATTTACAATTCTTTTCTTGGCACAAATAGAATTTTTCATTAACAGGGTTTTTTTTTTTTTCAATTTTAAGCATATTGTCTTTTCAAAGTTATCAGTTGTGAAAAGTCTTTTTCCTGTTGAATGGTAGTTTTTATTACTGTTATCATGTATTGCTACCACGTACTTTTTATGTTGGAAATTTGAGACCTAGGTAGCATATAAATGGTGTTTGTGCCAGGTAATAATTAAATGTTTGTTACAGGGCACCTCAGAAAGATTAACAATGCACCTGGTGGAAGAGCATTCAGTGGTGGATCCAACATTCATAGAAGACTTTCTGTTGACGTACAGGACTTTTCTTTCTAGCCCAATGGAAGTGGGCAAAAAGTTATTGGAGTGGTTTAATGACCCGAGCCTCAGGGATAAGGTTAGAAAACATACTCTATTTTAGCGCCTCAATATTGGAGATATAAACTTTTTTTGGGGGGGGGTGGATATAAACTTTATAGCTGCTCTCTATATTTGTAATGAGTAAGATAATGATTAGAACTTTTTAAGGAGAAAAACATTGTTGTAGATGTCTAAGCTAAGCGCTAGAATTTTTTTTTTTTTAAATGCAGAGACTAATAAAATGGTCAACACTTTCAAACCTTAGTTCTATCAGAAACATCATAAACACAACTCTCCTGGAAATTTTCTCAGTGTTGCCAGATAAATGTTAATACTTTTTCAATAGGCACCAGAATAAGGTTTCATTACAACACCAATAGCTACAAGACCCCAGTAATAAAATGCATTAGTAGTTATTAGGAGCACTGTTCAGGTGAGACTGGAAAATCAGCTGCACAGTCTTCATGATCGTAGGAGTTTTGAGAGTTCCCCAGACAGCGCCCATAATCATTTTCCCTTCGTGACAGTCTAACTTGGGAGAGGCAACATGAGACCAAGAATTCAGCCCTCCATTAACTTAGTAATCTTTGAGCGATCATTTGAGTGGTCGTACTCTTCATTTCATATTCTGAGAGGCGTAAACCTACATATCAAAGCCTTGAACACTTGACTCCAGTATTGCTTTTGCCACAGGCTTTGTATGCCACCTGATGTACTAAGAGTGGGTCTCTTTACTTCTGAAATAATATATCTCCTTCAAGAGTTTTTATGAGGATGAGAGATCATACAAGTTCCTTATTTCATATCTAGCATATAGTAAGCAATATATTTTGTTCATTATTATTGGTGGTGTTTGCTCTTCAATCGATGATATATAAATCTGCTTTTTTCATCTCTTAAAATGACTAGGTAACTTTTGAGTTGCCTTCTGAGCTACAAAATGATAATTTTACGAAAAGGTCAGATGTTAGGTATAGATGTTTTTATAGGAAAAGACCCCAGTTTCCTAAATTTGAAAACTGAGCCAAAGTGATAATTGACAAAATATTAACATAAATGTGAAGACTTGACTCTTAAGTGATTAGCCACATTGTATATTGTGATTTGTTCAAAATTGCTAGACAACATAACCTTGTTTTGATAATGGTAGATAAGCTCATTTTCTCAACTGAATGAAGGATATAAGTTACTATGTGGAATAATTTTATACAAATTCCTTTTACTTTGCTCAGAATTTAAAAAATGAAACCCTGACATATACACACTTGAGACTTAAAGAATTTCTCGGGGATTAAATGATACTGGAATTTACTCATGAATGTTTTGAAGTCCCCCTGTGTTTATGTATAAATAATAAATACTTTTGTATTAAATTGTAATTTTACTTATTTCATTTAGAATTTACTATATGCAAGGTGTTAGCTGCATGCAGTACATAATGGACAAAATTTAAAACATAATAGGCAAAGTTGACTTCTTGGAATTTAAAACTGAATGAACATCATAAGTGTTCCCTGGATACAACACAAATATTCCATCACTGTGAGTGTATACCTTGGTCTGTATAGGCTATGTGCAGAGTAGGAAACCATTATCCTAGAAAACTGTAGGTGTTAAAAACCTAAATCTGTATCAACAAATAAGTTTAATGCAGTGTTATTGTATTCTATTCCCCTTACTACTAAGATACATGGTCTGAAAGTTAAATTTATGTTGAAACCATTTTAGTCAGATTTTTCACACTAAAAAAGTAGAAAACTTATTGAAAATCATTGATTTTCAGGTTACGCGGGTAGTATTATTGTGGGTGAATAATCACTTCAATGACTTTGAAGGGGATCCTGCGATGACTCGATTTCTAGAAGAATTTGAAAATAATCTGGAAAGAGAGGTAACATTGTGATTTTTAAAAACGCGTCAGCCTTTCATTCATTTTAAGTCGCCCACCCACGCTTGCATTGACACCACTTCTTCTGAACTTTCGTAGAAAATGGGTGGACATCTGCGGCTGTTAAATATTGCATGTGCAGCGAAAGCAAAAAGAAGGTTGATGACCCTGACAAAGCCCTCCCGAGAAGCCCCTTTGCCCTTCATCTTGCTGGGGGGCTCAGAGAAGGGGTTCGGGATCTTTGTGAACAGCGTAGATTCAGGTAGCAAAGCGACGGAAGCAGGCTTGAAACGTGGGGATCAGGTATGGTATTTCTGAATTGGAAAATCTGTGTGAATATTGGTGTAACATTTTTCTTCCAAATAGGATATTGAAATTTCCTCTGTAATTTTGTTTTTAGATACTAGAAGTAAATGGTCAAAATTTTGAAAATATTCAGCTCTCAAAAGCCATGGAAATTCTTAGAAATAACACACATTTATCTATCACTGTGAAAACCAACTTATTTGGTAAGTTTTTGTTTTGGCTTTTTTTTGCATACTTCCACTTTTCTCTTGTTCATTTTTTTAAAAAAATGTATCATAAAGGAAATCATGTTTATGGATAATTTTTAAAACATAGGAACCATAATACTTATAGTAAAATGTGTATATCCCAGATTTATGATGGAGTTTCATTCTGATAACCTCATCATAAGTCAATTCTGATGTAAATAAAAAATCAAATAAGAATACCTTTTTAAAAGATTTTCTTTATTATTGCCTATGTTATTTATAAGTATCTACAAATTTGATCTTGGAATGTATGTGGGCAGACATGAGAATGATAGCATCAGCTGATTACATGCTGCAACATAGGTAGTACAGGTTACTAAGGATAAAAGGTGTAGGAAAAGACCGTCTTAAGTGTGGTCCATCAAAAGTTGGATATGTTATAAGTGAAGGATGGCTGCAGAGCATGGGTCCCATTATATAAGTACATATTAGAGACATGTCAAATCTGCTGACTTAAACACCACACAAATTACTTTTAATGTCTAATTTTTAACGATTGGTAATGATTAATTACTTCCCCATAAATTAGGGAGTAAACCACTACGATTGTTTTGTTTCCTTTTGTTAAGTTCTGAGTAGAGATTACAGAGCAATAATATAAAAGGCAGGCTCTTTTTGTTCT